TCGATCTGTCCGCTCCCTGCTCCGGCCCATTCTGCAGCGTCAATAGCATCATCCCTCCAGATCAGTTTCTCCCTTCACCATGCCTCAGTGGATAATGCAATAAAGATGATCAAGTTCACAGGGCACGGAGCTCGGCTCTCCAAAGCGGACATTACCGATGCCTTCAAATCATCCCCATTCATCCGTCTCAGTGGAACTTGTTCGGTATTAAGTGGGAGTCCAAACTCTATCTTCGCGTTCGCCTGACCTTCGGGTGCAGAAGCAGCCCCTGCATCTTCAATTCCTTCTCGGAAGCGCTCTATTGGATCCTGCTGAACATCGTCAGAATCCCCTCCGTCCTTCACCTACCGGACGACTTCCTCCCCATAAACCCCGCCACAGGACAGCTCAGGGATCTCACTGGCCAAGCTTAAACACTGCTTCAGGAGTGAGGTGTCCCTCTCTCCAAAGAGAAAACGTTAGGTCCCGTCACACGCTTAGAGTTCTTAGGCATCATCCTCGACTCCATAGACATGAAGGCGTCTCTCCCCTCAGACAAATCACAGCGCATCCAGGACATCACCAAGTCATACTGCGAGCAACAAGTTATCACAAAACAACAGTCGCTCTCCCTTCTCGTACACCTCAACTTCGCCATGCACGTCATCCCCCAGGGGCGCTCGTTCATCTCCCGCCTCCTGGACGCAGCATCAGCGGTCGACAACCTCCATGACTGCGTTTTCTTAGACGAAGGCTACCGCTCAGACCTTCGGTTCTGGTCCCTCCTGCTCGCCCACTGGAACGGAATTACTTTATTTTACGATGGCCTCGTGCGTTCCTCTGACTCAATGAGGTCTTCACGGATGCCGCCCATCCATGGGTTTTGGGGGGTTTCTTCCAGGGAGAGTGGTTCGCAGGGTCATGGCCCCGTCAATTTCTACCTCAAGCAAGTTCTCACTAAATCCAGCCTATCACCCATATCATACCCGGGGCATTCCTTCAGGATAGGTGCAGCCACCTCTGCTGCTAATCAAGCTCTCTCTACCTCATCCCTACAACAACTAGGACGGTGGTCCTCCTCCGCCTTCACAACCTTCATTCGTCCGGACATCAGCGCCGTAAGGGCTTCCCAAAGATCTCTCAGACCCTAACTATGGTAGTTATACATATAACTGGTGGTGACTCAAACACATTCACAAGTATACATGTCTCACTAAGGTTCCCGATATTCAAAACTGCATTCCTGTCCTAATTCCGCGGGCCCCGCCCACAGGGAATAATGTCTCGTCTCACGCTGCAACCACATGTAACGGGCTTCATCTCCGGCACACAGGTATTTCATTCCCAGGCCTTGCTCAAACGTATCAGTGTAAAATGTATTTCCTGCAGTCCGCGTGGACTCGGGCCACCGTACACTCCGGTGTCAGTTACAAAACAAAGGAAATAAAGAAAGAGTAAAGAAAAATATATATATATAGCCTGCGAAGTCAGGCGTGGCGGAAGGCCACCGTACACTTCGGTGTCGTAGCGGAAGGCTACCGTACACTTCGGTGTCGTGGACGTTGGGCCACCATTACAAAACGAAACCGCTCGCTCCTCGGCGTAGTCAAGCCCTGCTGGCCAGGCATGCGACCCGCAGGTCGTTTTCAGGTAAGACCGGCACTGATTTCGGCAGTCAGAGTCTCAGCATGACCAGTAAGCTCCGGCAGTGATTCCGGCACAATGTCGCTCATATACGTGTTAATCTATTATCTCTCCTTCCCAGATCACCAGTCACCCCACAAGGTAAGCAACTCAGTTCATCTCAGTATTCATACTTCACTGGTTTTGGGGATTTCATCGGAGCGGTGCTTTCCCTCCTGAATGATTATCCTGCAAACCGGGGCCTAATCGCCAAACACCGTTACATTCTCCTGTTGTATTATCATGGCAATCATTTCATTCATATGACGTGTAAACAATAAATATGTAATTCTTACATCACGTCTCTCCGGTTTGAAATGAAAGTTTTAGCGCAAGTTCAATAAGGAAGACCTAACTCGAGTCACTCACACGTCACTCTATGGCTCCCTTCCCCCCTCATTAAATACGAGGGCGTCACCCCTCAGCAGCCAATCGCTGCACATGCTAAATGCCTTAAATGCCTGCTCTTCCTCCCTGTCAGTTGTCATTGCAGATGATCACACGCAACCCGCCTCCACCCCTCTCGCCTCCTGTCTCCTTCAGGACAAAGCTAAACCTTCCTCCTTCAGACCGGTCTCACCTACTCATCACCACCACCAGTGTCTAGACCCCGGGGATTTCATCGGAGCGGTGCTTTCCCTCCTGAATGATTATCCTGCAAACCGGGGCCTAATCGCCAAACACCATTACATTCTCCTGTTGTATTATCATGGCAATCATTTCATTCATATGACGTGTAAACAATAAATATGTAATTCTTACATCACGTCTCTCCGGTTTGAACTACATTTTGTTATCACAAATCACCCTAAGGGACGTGTAATAAAATGTCAAGACCTTTCCTGAACCACTATCAAGTGAATTGTCCTGGAAATGGTTTGGATGAACTGAGGAACTCAATCCTCAGCCACAAGATGTGGTACCTGAAGTAAGTGAACCTTTCATAGAGAGAACAAGTGTGATAGATTGTCGGAGGAGTGCTACTTCAAGTGCAGCTATCAAAAAGCAGGTGCTATTTAGAGGCCATAATGTAGACTGAAAAAAAAGACAAAAAATAACTTGACTTGTCCTTACAGTATAGCTTTTTGATCTATACGTCACAATCAAAAAATACGAAGGCACTCAGTGCAGGCAAAAAACATTTTTTTATTATTTGGTTATTACAGCTAGTCCAAGTCTTTTTTCGTCTTAAGCGTACATTGTGAGTAGACATGCAACAAAGTCCAACCAACTTAAAAAACATGCTTTTATTCTACAGGAAACTTAGCAGGCACACTGATCCATCAAATAACTGACACAAGTTGATTTAGAGCTGCTTTGTAATGTAGATGTAAAAACTGTACAAATGTAGAAAAGGGAAAACAATGATACCAGGGTGTGTTTCTTATATACTGTTGTACTCCATACAAAAAAAAAACTAGATGCCAAACTACAGGAAAAAAAACACGAGTAAGGGGTAGACTGTGTTATGGGATTGTTTGTTAATGTTAATTATAAAATGTTCGTTATCCATAGATTTTAAATGTATATGAGTCTCCTAGTGTCTTATTTAAGTTGTCTTATAAATATAAACCACAATCCAAATTACAGTGAACTTTACACAAAATAACCACTGAAAATGTCTACAGTAGTCTACTTAGAGGTTATTGTGCTGCTGATATTCTGAAACAACATTTAAAGATGGTAAAATGGAATTCTCTTTCAGCAGAAAGCCATCCAACACTGATATACAGAAATATCACTATTAATGTGAGAGCACCCCCTTCAACCCCGCCTCTGGATCAAGATAAATCAGTCACTCCATTGGCTGGATCTTTCAAATGCTTGGGGGGACAAAAGGATTTTAAGCACAAAAGGGCTGATAACACTGCAGCCATTTTCGTCCTCGAGGCTGAGAAGTTGAGAAGTTAATGCAGAAATCTCGGTCTTGATGGTGAATGTGCCATTGTAGATCTGATACTCTGACTTCTGATTTCTCACCATGACATTTACATTGGCTATCCCTTTTTAGTAGGGTGCGCAGTAAAATTTATTCACATAAGAATCCCGATTCTATCTAGTTTGTTTTTTTTCAAACCACATTTTACAGTCTTGCCGAAACGCTGTTTTCCATTTTCTCTATGGCGTGAGCTCCGTAATGTCCCGCTAACATGGCACTTTATGCAGCATCCAGGGAAACCCTCTTCACTCTGCCCGCTCTTCATGCCTCAAAGGGCGGACTCCTGAGCTATTTTGAATCGCCAATCGATTGTGAATCGACTCGTGAGATTTCCTGAATCGTGCACCCCTACTTTTTAAGTGCTTTGGTTGGCTATACAGGCTCTCACTCACGGCTGTACAGGACATTTAGAATGTGGGCACATTTGATTACAACCACGATGCAGTGACGTTACCATTTATAAGATTAAAATGTTGTTTCACCTTGCGTTGGAAATATGATGAATTTTCCCTTCTACGTTATCGCCAAGACACAGAAAAATAAGGGGACTGATTTCTACTGAAAGTAGGCAGTGTCTGTGGATCAATGTGTGTATGGAATCAGTGATATCACTGCGTGCTTCACTGCATTCCAAGTGGGGGCAGGAATAAGGAGCCACTCAAACCTCTCCTGTGGTTCCAGACAAGAGTCCCTGCTAATTAGACCAGAGACAAATAGCATCACTGTATTGGAAAGAGATGAGGACGCAATGGGATCAGACGTGTGTGTTATTAATGAGCATCACACACATTGAAAGGAGTCCAGCAATGTCTGTCAGTGCGTCTCTGCTTTGTCAGAGAGGAGGGAGTCTGGTCAGAGGCACTCATGTTTCTGACTGCAGGCTCCAGGCGAGCTCCGTTTTCAATCCAGGTCGGCTCCCAAATGTGTTCCCGCACACTCTCCCATGCAAGTTCACATAAACATCACCTCGCTACGTGTTTACACCCTTGCTTTCTTTGACCTGCGGTTTTCACAAGCATTATGTTTCATTGAATTACTTTTCTTTCAAAGAAAACAAATAATTTAAAAGCTCCAGATTTGTTGCATGCTTTGCAATTGCCATGACAGAGGAATCCTATGTGACTAAGCTTCTTATTTGCCAAAATATTCTAGGGTAATTTTGAAGATTGACGTCATAGTTTAGCAAACAGAAAGACATCCAGCTATTTGGTGAAAAAAAGTGCATATTAGGTATTTTTGGGGATCATTCATACAACTGCTAATTTATTATTTACACCACAGTGCCAAAGCACAAATGTTTAGATTTGTACACGTTAACATCAATTTGTGATGACATGGGCGGTGAATGTTGGAAGATAACGTTTTTATGTAACCAGAAAAATGTTCTAATACAAAACCACAGAATTCAACAAGTTTATTTCAGAATAAAATCCATATTACACTGAAACTTAGAACAAGTAACATTTATATAGTCCTCTTGGTCCTGGAAAAATGTGATGATATGGCAACAGCTCAACGTGGATCACAAGACCGTAAAGAATGTAACAATTCTAAACATTACATAATACCATAACATGATGTAAATAACGCAACTTCAGAAAGTCACACAAATGAAATGCCGGAACCAGAAAGATCATAAAGTGCATCACTTCATAATTTGCTTGAATTTCACTCAAAAATGTATTTAATTGACATCTTTTACATCGTTGTTTTCCGCCGTCGTTTTCCACTGACGGGCAAGGATGCTGCATCGTCTTCTCTCGTGCTCGATGCTCTCTTTTGACCTGGTTTCCCCTCCATGTCTCTATGATAGAACATTGTCAGAGGTGATCTTTTAGTGTTTTGTGTAAAGAAATAAAAATAAGCAATGTTAAGTTGATTGAGATGGTATTATTAGTATGCTCAGACTTTCATGTCCTGAAGTGTTGTTGCAGTAAAAACAAGGAAACAGTAAAACAACTATTACTCAGGGCTTTTAAATTGCACTAAATTGAAACAAAGGATCATCTGAAAAATCACATTTTGTGGTAATAGAGCCAATCCTTTTTGTCACGCTTCTGCTGCTAAATAATTATACATTTGCTGAGAACCAGCTGCTCTGTTTCAGCACAAAATCAATCAATTAGCAGTAAATGACCTACCGATCACGATGTTCCTTTCCAAAATATGCATCAGCAACAAGCCCCAGAGCCATAAAGACCACAAATGATTTAAATCAATCTCAAACGGTCTTTTTTTAAATTGTCTCCTTCTCTCCTTGATCCTGGGAGTCTTATTGTGTGTAGAATAAAAGAGAAAAAGTACTGTAGAATGTTCTTTTTGAATAATAGTAACAAACAATACAGCACTAATAATACTAATATTGTTGTATGCCCTGCAATAGTCTCATATTGTCAATCTGTATTAATACATTTTATTGATGGTAAGTAAACCCCTAATTAAATCTGTCATAGAATGAAACTACTGTACATTACATTTTTGTAAAAAGCTGGATTTTTGTTCACTTCAATAAAAGGGATTATTATCAGCATAATTTAATGCAAAATAAGTGAATATTGTCACACACACACTGGGATAATGATATTATTCTCACAAGTCATGTGATATCCCTTTCCTAAACTAATAAACACAACATGGGTAGCGTTTAATTAGGTCAGTGAACAGAATTGCCAAGATTTTTTCTTTAATAATTGTGTATTCTCCAAAATGTTAATCATGCAATGCACATTACTGGCATATTGAATTCCAACTCTGTTCATTATTTTTACATCAATATGACAGTTCCAACGTGGTAATAATATAGTATTTTATTTATTTATCTGAGACGAACAATCTGCATTTTTCATCATTAAAATTCCGAGTTTTATTCTGAAAGAAACCTCACTGTTGTCAGAGCAACATGTCTGCATTGAGCGCTCAATGCCCTTAAATAAGCTGTTTTCCCTCATTAATTGTCTCCTGACGCATCAGCAATTCTTGCTACAGCGTAAGCCCTGGTGGGCTTCACAGGTCAGCACGTGGTGTTGGGGACATCAGATCTGTCCCATAAGAGATGTTCCGATAACATGAAACCGCAGCATCTTCCATGTGGAACCACTTACAGCTTCACATGAAGGGCTCTCTTCAGCTGATTATACTACAGATATATATAACCCTCCAGCCACTTCTCTGCCTCTATCTTCACTGAATGGACTGGAAAAACAAAATTCCAGCCCTGGAATTTGGGTCAGAAGTCCACATGTGGGGAGAATGGGGAGACAACTAAGCATGCTAGATTACTCGTAAGCATGCTAGATTACTCGTAAGCAAGCAGTTTGCCTCTGTACAAAGTGCGGATCAGGACTAAACATTCAACATTTAAGTTCTCATGATTGTCAGACAAAGGCTGAGGAGAGGAGATAAAGCCTTGCCTGATGGGAAAATACATATATTTTCGCACTTGGGAAACTCACAGACTTGGCTTTTGGCTATTGAGTTGCTCAAGCATTTCAAGACCCAAAAGGACTGGTGTGCTGTGACTGACTATATACCGAAAATGAGCTGGTCATTAAAAGAGATTAGGAGAGGGTCTTGGTTAACTGCAAGACACACAAAGTTAGATCGCACCCCGGATATACAGCTCTGGAACAAATTAGGAAAATTAACCACCCTAAATCTTTCTTAAATCTCAATCTCTACATGTATGGCAACCCTTCCATTCCAGTGTCAGTTGAATACCATCAGATAAATGTTGTCTGTAATTAAAAAATCAAATAAAAATGTCATTTTACTCAAACGCATACCTATAAATAGTAAATCCAGAGAAACTGATAATGCCTCAGTGTGGTCTCTTAATTTTTTCAGAGCTGTATGTGGGACTGTTGTTTTGTTCGTAGTGTGACAGCAAAGATTTCTATATTTTAAATGTCCTTGAAACAAACTTGCCCCGTGAGTTATAATCATACAGCACAGAACAATGATAACAACTGTGATGTGCCACAGAGTTTGTAATGTATGCTTGTCCTATCTTCTGTGACCAAAAAAGAAACAATCCTTTTGTAATGCACAGTTCGCAAGAGAATAAGTACCAAGTGACCAGAAGAGCTTGCTGTTTGATTAAACTGTCAAAAATAATTTGATATAGATGACAGCAGTAAGAGTCCAGTAACAAAATGATTAATTAAAGAGAAAGAGGATAAACAGAATCCAGAAAATAGACTTCCAAATACTAGGTCTCAATATTAAGCCCACTTGACACAGCTATAATTGGTTTGAGTCATGGACAACTGAACAATTAAATATATTGCTTAAATAACTAAGTGTCCCTAGAAATATTGCCCGGGACGTTGTCAATCACTAGGAGCTCAGGGACACTAACTTCAAGAAAAACGCTCCACTTTTATTTGACAGGAGTGCTATCTGCTGCCTCTGATAACTAAGGTCCCCAAACATGAGGAAAAGCGTGGTATAACATCAGAAGAAACCAGGGACAACCTGTCCAACTTTAAGCTGCGAGTGAAAAACAACATCTATGAAAGCAGGCAGTCTTACAGGCTTACTGGCTCTTCTTGTTTTATTATGGTTTGTAGACCATTTTAGATGCCTCAACAAAAAGGCAGGATTGATCAATATCAATGACAAGGGAAGAATGTCAACGCCTTATTTCTGTCAGATCCATATCTGGAAATTTCCAAAACTTCCCCAGATATTCAGACAGGTCTAGACCTTAACTTTACATAATGCGCAATTCAAATACAGGGAGACATTTGTACTGTTGTAGAGGTCTGATAAGCTCTAACAAAACAACAAACATAACCATGATCTTTTTAACACTGGCTGTTGGGATGATTGCACTTATTACTCTTCAGTGATCTCAAATTAAACCTCACTTTACAGACCCATGTCGACAACCTCATAAAGCTTTTGTAAAAATTTGATTTTTGTATGCAACAATAAACACATCATGCTTCTCCTTTGCAAGTAGGAACACCAGTGTGTGATTATGTTTGCTCTTGATACAAGTTAGTATTGTGTATATTCATCTGTCTCTTTCCACTTTAAAGCCTCTAGACTCTGTAACAAAGTCCCATGTTAATCCATTACCAGAACTGTGTGATTACTTTTAATACAATTTTGTGGGGTGGCATAGAAAAACACTCAGATTTTGACAGTTGCAATAACAGCAGGGTTACTCACTGAGGGTTACTGACAGCCTCCGGACCAAAGATGTCTGAGATGGAACTGTGATGGGAGAAAGAGAGAGAGGAGAGCACGAACATGTCATTTACAAAGTTTTACTGATATAGGTTTTCTTCTGTTTCAATAGTCAAACTTAGTACACTGAATGTACTTTAGTAAATTACCTTAAAAAAGCTGCGTTAAAGACTGTGATGCCCTAAAATATATGGACGATGCCTATAGACAAGTGTTTGGACTGTATGACACAACTATCAGTGGACAAGTCATGCCATTGACAGGATAAAGAAAATCAGAAATAGATTTTTCATATTACCAAGAGGGTACAGTTGCAAAACTGTCTCATGCTGTCCCGCAGTGAGATCTGGGAGTTAAGGCAGTTGAAGTGCCTGTGCTTTTGCAGACCACGTATGAGACGTATCAGTCTGTGTTTCTAAATTGGGGTTTTCAATTTTCATTTGGTTTGTTATGTTTTTACTAGGGCTGTCAAACGATTACAATTTTTAATCAGATTAATCACAGCTTAAAATTTAATTAATCATGATTAATCACCATTCGAACTATGTCCAAAATATGCCATTTATTTATGCATATTGTTGTGGGAATGGAAAGATAAATGAAAGAAGGCGGATATATCCATTTAACATACAGTATCTATGTTTATTATAACATTTTTCTGCGTGTCAAAATGAAAGACAACCCACACACCTATCAATCATCAAACCGTGGGGTCTTAATTCATTACGTGTTGATTTCTATCAACGGGGGAGTACTTCAGGAAAGTCGACAGAGGGGGGGGGGGCGGCGGCGGCTAGTGGAGTATTTCGTGACCACAGAGTGTGAAGGTTGTGATCAGCTGTTTTAGCGCAGTTCTCCAGTGAAGCCCCCCTTCACTGGAGAACTGCGCGAGAACTGAGTGTCTCCCTCCGCAGCCGGTTGGCGTAGTTTTCCGTTGTACAGACCGACGTTAACAGCAGCCCTGTCTGTGCACACGGAGACCGACTGTCGTCCGGTGATCTAACCGCCTTCTGGAAAAGCTTCACAAGTACGTCGGTACGCAAATGCGCTTTGTGACACAAGTGACGGTACGCATTTCAGATTACGCACATAACCTGCGTACCAGTTATGTGCACCCCGTACTACAGCTAAAGTATTCTCCGTCGGGACTTCCTGCAACAACACCACGCCGTTATCAAAGATGTTCTATTGAGAGGACGATCACTACGTGACAAAAGTTTTCAAAACCGTGGCTACTGAAATCAATCTTACTAACTGCTGTCTGTGCAATTTACTACGCGCGAGTTGGCAGACTTTATTTTGCTTACTTTAACATCATTTTTCATGGTGGGGCTAAGCCATTTCTTGGTATGGGTGTAGCCTACCCCAGCCATACCCTGGCGCTGCCACTGGTGGCACGTATGGGGCGGGCCATTCTGCATATGTGTTAAATGAGTTAAATATTTTAACGCAATTAATTCAAAAAATGAATTACCGCCGTTAACGCGATAATTTTGACAGCACCAGTTTTTACATCATGGATGAGGGTTTTCCGTCTGTGGCTATAAGGATGGTTTTATTGTCCCGTGCTTTTACATTAGTTTATTTTTGTCCTACCGTTTTTCTCTAAATGTATGTATGCTGCTTTTTTATATATGTATTGATGTACAGCACTTTGGTCAACTCTGTTGTTTTTAAATGTGCTAAATAAATAAAGTTGGATCGGATTGGATTGGATACAGTTTCCGGCCTGTCCATTTCCCCCAAACTCCCAATATTGTAATGAGTTCCCACCAGCAAACAATACGCAAAGTATGTCACAACACCAACAACCACTCTGGAGTTTGCAGCTGTGCATTTTGAACTGAACAGCATGAGGCTGATCATGGTGGTGTTAGGATCAAACTGGTATGAGCAGGTCAATTATAACAATAAAGACATAGTGATAATGTACTTAAGCATTTGCCAAATCAACATGCCAATGGGTTTCATTTGCAGCTTAACATTGTTAATGTTAAATAATTTTCCAAAATGTTAAACCAAACAGTAAAAATGTAAATGTTAAACAGATATGTGCTTGGATAACCTGTTTTAGAGAGAGAGCAAACACATTTTAAGCCAACAAGTTATTTTGTGGACGTAAGCAACAGGTGAGTTTTTGTGAATGAGCAGTAATATATTGGTTGTATTACTGATTGTTATGACCTGGCTCAAAAGGCCACAGCAAAGAGGAGACACACCATATCCACATTTAACAAAATGTGTTTATTTAAGCAAAACATTCAAATCAACCAAATTAATTAAGTGCAAAACAAGTAGAGTATGAGGTGTGGATGTCAGTGGTATCAGTAGTGTAAATGCAGGGTGAGGATTGTATGGACATGTACAGTGGGGCAAAAAAGTATTTAGTCAGCCACCAATTGTGCAAGTTCTCCCACTTAGAAAGATGAGAGAGGCCTGTAATTTTCATCCTAGGTACACTTCAACTATGAGAGACAGAATAAGAAAAAAATCCAGAAAATCACATTGTCTGATTTTTAAAGAATTTATTTGCAAATGACGCTGGAAAATAAGTATTTGGTCAATAACAAAAGTTCATCTCAATACTTTGTTATAATACCCTTTGTTGGCAATGACAGCGGTCAAACGTTTTCTGTAAGTCTTCACAAGGTTTTCACACACTGTTGCTGGTATTTTGGCCCATTCCTCCATGCAGATCTCCTCTAGAGCAGTGATGTTTTGGGGCTGTCACTGGGCAACACAGACTTTCAACTCCCTCCAAAGATTTTCTATGGGATTGAGATCTGGATACTGGCTAGGCCACTCCAGGACCTTGAAATGCTTCTTACGAAGCCACTCCTTTGTTGACCGGGCGGTGTGTTTGGGATCATTGTCATGCTGAAAGACCCAGCCACATTTCATCTTCAATGCCCTTGCTGATGGAAGGAGGTTGTCACTCAAAATGTCACGATAGATGGCCCCATTCATTCTTTCCTTTACGCGGATCAGTCGTCCTGGTCCCTTTGCAGAAAAACAGCCCCAAAGCATGATGTTTCCACCCCCATGTTTCACAGTAGGTAGGGTGTTCTTTGGATGCAACTCAGCATTCTTTCTCCTCCAAACACGTCTAGTTGAGTTTTTACCAAAAAGTTCTATTTTGGTTTCATCTGACCATATAACATTCTCCCAATCCTCTTCTGGATCATCTAAATCAGTGGTCCCCAAACTAAGGCCCGCGGGCCGGGTACGGCCCGCTTCCACATTTGGCCCGGCCCCCTGAACAATACCAGAGACGCATTATGATTTTTTTTATTATTTTTTTTTTTCAGTCTGGCCACGCGAATCCTAGACTAGCCCCTGTCAAAATGTTGTGACCTGCTCTATCGAAATCAGTCGCATTGACCCGAAGACACCTTTTGAGTTGTATACACAGTTGGAAAGAGGATATTCCTAGCTTTCTAATGATATCAGGATTGTTTTTGTACTTCAAATATTAAGCGAAATATGTCACATTATATAATGACTGTCACCGAGTCATAATTTTGAGAAAAAGGCCTTCAAAGTTGTCTCTTCTCTGGAATCCATCGATCTGATTGATTATTAGCGGAGCAAATGATCAAAATACTACCGAGGGAAGATATTTTCGTTTGGAGGGGAAGCTCGCGAGTGTGTGTGTATACGTGTGCGTGTGAGTGTGTGTGCTTGTGTCATTTTGCGTTTGTGTGTATTGTGTTTGTTTCCCAGGGAAAACACTCACGAGAAACACCGGCTGTTGTTATGCCTGCCGTTCTCCGCTTGTAATTATGCCGAAGCTTCAAAGTTGTATTTATCATCTGAATTTGCCGAAACAAGTTTAATATTCTGAAAGCCAAGACTTTGTTTAATTGAAATCAGATGAAAACAAACTGTAACGGACCCTGCAGTGTTATCTATGATTACTATACTCTTACATTCATAATTTCAGCGGAGTGAGGGGGGGGGGGCGGCGCTGCGGAAGAGCAGATTGCGAGTGAGAAATAAATAGGAAATAAAAGTTTAATATTCTGAAAGCCAAGACTTTGTTTGTTTAAAATCAAACAAAACACCCCGAACCCCGAAAAAATAGTTTTTTTTACGTAAATCCACGTTTATTTTGAGAGATTCTGCTCTGACAACTAAGCTAAACTTTTACCTGTTAAGATTGTGCACGGCACAACAGAAAGTTACAGTAATTTTCAATGGACTTTTTTCTGTGAAGAACCCAGAGAGGGTTATTTGGTTATTATTTATTTCATTAATAATGTTATTATTTATTTCCTGACTTTTTTTCTGTGAAGATCCCGGAAAGGGTTATTAATATTTGGTTATGTGTGGCTTTCTAGAAAACAATAAATGTTTACGTTTAGACACCCATGCGATCGTCACACTTTTTCTGTTACAAACTGACCAGGCCCCCATCAGAGAAGGGAAAAGTTATGTGGCCCTCACAGGAAAAAGTTTGGGGACCCCTGATCTAAATGCTCTCTAGCAAACTTCAGACGGGCCTGGACATGTACTGGCTTAAGCAGGGGGACACGTCTGGCACTGCAGGTTTTGAGTCCCTGGTGGCGTAGTGTGTTACTGATGGTAGCCTTTGTTACTTTGGTCCCAGCTCTCTGCAGGTCATTGACTAGGTCCCCCCGTGTGGTTCTGGGATTTTTGCTCACCGTTCTTGTGATCATTTTGACCCCACGGAGTGAGATCTTGCGTGGAGCCCCAGATCGAGGGAGATTATCAGTGGTCTTGTATGTCTTCCATTTTCTAATAATTGCTCCCACAGTTGATTTCTTCACACCAAGCTGCTTACCTATTGCAGATTCAGTCTTCCCAGCCTGATGCAGGTCTACAATTTTGTTTCTGGTGTCCTTTGACAGCTCTTTGGTCTTGGCCATAGTGGAGTTTGGAGTGTGACTGTTTGAGGTTGTGGACAGGTGTCTTTTATACTGATAACGAGTTCAAACAGGTGCCATTAATACAGTTAACAAGTGGAGGACAGAGGAGGCTCGTAAAGAAGAAGTTACAGGTCTGTGAGAGCCAGAAATCTTGTTTGTTTGTAGGTGACCAAATACTTATTTTACCGAAGAATTTACCAATTCATTCATTAAAAATCCTACAATGTGATTTCCTGGATTCTTTCCCCCCATTCTGTCTCTCATAGTTGAAGTGTACCTAGGATGACAATTACAGGCCTCTCTCATCTTTTTAAGTGGGAGAACTTGCACAATTGGTGGCTGACTAAATACTTTTTTGCCCCACTGTATGTGTGTGAGAGTGTTGAAGTGCACAAAGTGAAGCAACTGAAGAAACTCATAGCATACTCAACAAAACCGGGGTGCCTGCAGGGAGCAGCAGAGAGGGAGACAGAGAGGGGCAGAGGCTTTAAATAACTGCAGGCCACCAGACCCAGGTGCCCTGAGTTACTGCAATCAAGGAGGCTGGATGCAGCACAGCCACACCCTCTCCAGATGAATCCACAGGGGCATCACAGCCCCCCCCCTCCTTAAGACGGGGCCCCAAAGGGATCCACGACAAACCAACATCCTCCTGTGTATATTGACCATCAGGTGTGTGTCCAGTATGGACTTTTTTCATGTGTCTTTTCATGAACGTCACTTCTTCCATGTTTCTGATCCCATAGTCCTTAAGCCTCATCTTATCATCACTGGCCTTCTTCAGATCCAAGACGGTTGCATTTTGCACCACAACTATGGGCATAATCTCTCCATCTGCCTTTAAAACCCTGACAATCATGGCTTGGCCATACTCCAAAGCAATCTGGGAATTAACCTCCTCCAAATGTACCTGAATTGGCAGATCACAGAGTAAAGGGTCCTGAACAAATTGAGCAAGACCTTCCTCGAATATATCCAGGATCTCTGAGTGAAGAAGAGTCTCCACGTCTTCCTCCTCCTTTGACACAGACGAAGGGAGATCAGGCAGTGAGACCACCTGTTCAACACCACTTTTTCTACACTCCGAAACAGGCGGGTCAGCAGACATCCACGGCTCTGCGCACGCGTAACAGCACAAACTGGAAACACACTTGGAAACTGCAAACCGCTCTCACCTGGCTCCCCGGATGCCAACGGCCTGGAAACCGCCACAGGCGGTGGCACACCAGCCCACACAGCACTACCAGCGAGATTGTTGCCCAAAATCATATGTACCCCATCAAGTGGCAACGCGGGACGCACGCCGATAGACACAACTCCCCGCACCAGCTCACAATCCAGCACTATTGTATGACGTCGCACAGGAATCAAGCTCATCTCCATGCCCCTCATCACAAAATCCCCAGTCTCTGTCTCTGACGAAAAAGGCAACACTGACTCAACAATAAATGAGCATCGAGCTGCTGTGTCACGCAACACCTTAATCAGAACATACTTGTCACTACCGACTACTGATACAACGGCTTCCGTTATGAACGGCTCAAAACCAGAACCCACATCCAAGTCGGCACAAACCAGCTTCTTATCAGGCACCATGCCCGATCCTACACCCTGCAGCTTTTTAACCAAAATGGCAGAACAACACATGGCTGGAGCATGTGATGAAAAATAAGGCTTCCCCTCAGGTTCCAGCAACGGACACTGATCCTTCCAATGACCCTCTCCTCGGCAATAATGACATAGGCCCACTTTGGCCCCCTCGGGTCGCCCCGTACCTGCAAATCTACGGGAGGAGCCTGGTGAAACCTTTGCACCACCGCGGGCATAGCCACCATCTTTTCCACGTCTCCAATCACCCCTAGAAGACTTCTCTATAAAACTACCCTTATGCGTCAACACAAAATCATCCGCTAATTCAGCAGCTCTAAGCGCGGTGGAAGGTTTCTGCTCATTTACATAAGTGGCCACACGCTGAGGGATAACATCGTTAAACTGTTCCAATACAATGAGTTCACAAAGACCGTCAAAACTGGCAACCTTTGCTGCCGCGCACTACCGCTGAAAATGAGAAGTCAAATCACGGATAAACTCCACATTTGTCTGCTTATCCCCCTTGACCCAACTTCTGAACTTTTGACGATACGCTTCAGGAACCAGTTCATATGATTTTAACACCACTGATTTTACTCTATCATAGTCCAAAGCATTTTCGCCACAAATAGCTGAATAGGCCTCTTGTGCTCGCCCAGTGAGTACACACTGAAGTAACAGCACTCTGTCCGAATCTGACCAGTTTCTTGCCGCAGCTACGCACTCAAATAGGGTGAAAAAAACGTCAGGGTTACGCTCATTAAACTTTGGCACCAACCGCAAGTTAGAAATAACATCGCCACTACCTGATGCCGAACCATCAGATGAAAGCTTGCCCTCTCCAATCAGCCGTAATCTAGCATGTTCCACCTCACATTTCATATTTTCCACCTCCAGCACCTTCTCCACCTCTAAACGCTTCTTTACCTCCTGCTGCCGTAACCTCACCTCCAACTGCAACTTCTCCTGCTCAAACTCCATGGCCAAAAGCTTTTTGCTGCTCGAACGTCAAACCAGCTGTCTGAACCACTACCAGCACAACCCCTGCCGCACCAGACTCACTCTTCTGCAACACCCCCTGCTCAAACAAAAATGACACGATGACAGCTTTAATCTCATCTTTCCGGTTGCTCCCTACAACAGCAATTTTATAATGCTCTGCTATTTCGACCAACTGCGCCTTCTTGCAATCGTCTAAGAAAGACAGTGAGGGCCAGTGTTTCCGCCAGACCAGGGCTGAGAGGGCGTCCACCCCGAGAGCGGGGCCGTCCCTTATAGATACTGTCTTTTTACATTAGTGAGCCGGATCATTTGGCTCGGCTCTCTTAAAGCGTCGTCTGTTTTGGCTCCCAAGCGGCTCTTCATGTTACCACAGTTAACCAGGGAGCCTCAGTTTCGCCACTGCGAGGCTCTGGTGCTCGCAGCTCATGCGCGAATGAAAATAGTGGGAAGTAACACTAATGTTATGTCTAGGTTTCCCTAGACCAGAGGCATACCAATCAGTGTGAAATAGACCTTTTTCACAGACAGATTCAAACTGTAGAAAAATAATATAACAAAAATAAATCCCGCTTTTCTGTTGCATATAAAAGGTCTGACTTCTGAGGGTGTCTAAAGTGTCCATTATGTAGGGCTCACCTGCTGATGGACACTTCACTGTGGGCGGGGCTGGAGGACCATTCCATTATTTTTGCAGGTGGCTCCTCGTCAGATTCTTTGTCTTCTGCTTTCATCACTGAGCCCTTTATTGATCCTGCGACGTGATGAGGAGGGGGCAAAATAGACATCATTATGTCAGACACCCAGGAAAAATCAGGGTGGTGTGCATATAAAGGATGCCTCTGACAACCTTGGTATCCCTTAGAAACCACATTTTTACATATTCTCAATGGAAATGGCATTTAGGTCCTGTTGGCAGCATCACAAAAACCTAGCCTCTCACACAGTGGACAGTGTCAGGTTTTTTGGTGTGTGCCTTTTCATTTGATTATTGCAAACCAAGCAAATTAGCAGCATGCAACACCAATATTAAATCATTTAGTTAGTGTATTTAGGCAGTGAAAAACTGTATGAACACATGTTAAGTATATGGTTGATTACAGTTACAGAGCAACACAATCATTCATTGATTCTGGACACCTGGTAAATGAAAGTAGAAAATTCCCTTTGCACTTCCTCTTCAACATTCAACATTTCTGATGTGCCCAACAATGAAGTGCAGACGTGTTGTGAATTCGGCAAGGATGGAACAAGTAAATGAGTGAGCTTCATTTACTCTCCCACACACTCACCCACCACATTGAGCTGCATTGCACGCCTCACTAATTGCAACAAAGCAATTAATAACGTTAGCATGGGGATCAGGTATCAGAGTCCCTATATTCCTTTAAGTCTCCTGTTGCTAAAGTACATTTTATTCCTTGATAGAGTTAAAAGTATTGCAGTACCTGCAGCCTTTGTTTTCTGTGCATCGTCTCCTTCCACAATGTCTTCCCGTTTGATACGAGTCTGCCTGGTGGTCTCTAAGCGACCCCGAACCTGAGCAATCAGGCGTGAAAAGTCACTGCTGTGCCGCTTCCCTGCAGTCAGAAATAAGGTTGAATATTTTAAAAAAATACGCATTTTAAAATTACATTTAAATGTATAATAAAAAATACTATACAGAAATAACATCCCACAAGAATATCGCTGTATAGAGTGTTGTTTGGGAAAAACTGTTTTCATATTCATGAATGCAGACTCATTTTCTTTGGGAAAGGTTGAATAGCTTTGTAAAGATACATGGTTTTATTCATTGGCTTCTGTATTTGAGGTTAAACACCACCAACGAAAGGAGATTACTGTAGTAACAAAATCATCTTACTCCTGTGGTGGAGGCCGAACAGTAATTGAAAAGACAAGCGACGCGGGCAAAATAATAATAAAAGTTTGGGCAGTGATCCAAACACAAAAAAACAAAAACAGGAGTATGGAGACAGCACTGAGGGAAAGAGAAAAGGACCAAAACACTGCAATTAACACTAGAAACTTTGCTATCTGAGCCTTGCCTCTGATATTGTCGTGAGCAAAAGATGAGACACAAAGATGAGACAATGCTGTTGCAAAGCTTTTCCTGTGAGTGTGGCTCCCAATTCACATCGGTACACATGTAACACTTTAGTTTTGTTTGCAGGCTTGTAAGGATTAGACTAATGTGTGCATTTTGTGAGTTACACATGATGTTAACATCTCATGCACCAGGTACATTTCACAGACATAAGGGATGCAGCACACAGCTTTAAAAGGGAATACATCAGGCATTGTAAGATGCAAAATAGGGGTTACTGCATTTTCAACATTGCATTGCTAGTGGATTTACTATCCCAGTAGCATTGTATGTTGTAACTCCAATCACAACATTTTTTTTCAGTTGTTAAGCTCAAACACCCACATATCTTATTATCACTAAAAGAATGAGTCATTAAAGGCTGCATCACCCGGTGTGTTCACTGTGTGCATGTTTCTGTGCTGCTCTTCCCCAATTCCTAATGCTGGTGGAGTGAGTCATCCACATCCTCCACTGATAAATCAAGAGGTTATCACAGCAGTGCGGCTATTTATAGAACCTTCCTCCTGTGAGTCACAACCATTTTTCAACCCATTTTTAAGTTAGAACTGAGTTGTTTCCAACAAGCCTTTTATCTTGCTCAATCATTACAACATAATTTTGGATAATGTTTTCTAATCTGCTATTTTATCTTGACCTCTACCCTGAGAATTAAAAGACCTGGTATTGATTTCTGTGAGTAATAGTACATAGCAATGGGGAAAAAACTCTTAGAAGGACACTTAAATAGCCAAGTAGCACTATCGAATCAATTTCAAACAATCTTCAGTAGCATTTACAGACAGTATCATCAGTTTTACATTTCCATTCCACCCTTTGCTGCAAAATTACTCACTGAAGATAGCAATTCTGTTGCTGGTAAATTGTTATGGAAGGTATATGAGGCTGGCTCTAATGATGACTTCTCGACTGAATTTATTTTCCTTATAGATGTGATGTTTTGGTGTTGTTGTTTTTTGTTGTATTGTTTCTTTCCGTTAACCGTCAAGTGGGAAATAAGTATTTTTTGTTGTGTTTCTCTTAGTATCCTAAGATACTGTTTGGCTGTGAAAAAAAATTATTATGAAGGGCAGACCATCTATTTGTATTTATTTAGTTTTTTTTAGAAAGGGGCACGTCACATAAGATTTTATTCTTCTTCCTGCTCCTTTTCGCTCAATGGTGTTTTGGTAGAGTCATGTTTTCTTGGCAATTATTGTACATTTGGTTTTGCGTACCATGAGCGGGACAAATAAAAAGGAAATGAAATGAAAATGAAGTAAGATTGAGATTACAAATCGTGAGGATTTTGTTTGACATGAAAGTATACTATGTCTTCAGTTCCCAGAAGAACAAACCCTACTTCTCAACTGCATTACCGTACTATAATTAGTCAAATTGACAAAAATAACATAATGCACTTGGATTACCTCTCAAGCCAAATGCATGTCCCTTGAGGATTTTCCTACTGAACTAGAGCTGCCTGGAAATGGAAAAATAAATGCATTGATGGATCTTTGGAAAACGTGTCTAGTCTTAAGGCATTTTCTGAGAGGTCCTTTTCTTAGATATGACTTTTAAAATCATCCCAGACCAATTTTTCGCCTGATGTTAATAACTCAAGGACAGACTTGCCTTTTGGTACTTTGAGGTATTGTAACAGAAAATCTAAATCATCAAACAGGATTTCCAACAGAATTTCAAAGCAGAGGTGGGCTGCCAGGCTTCAAATTGCCTCAGAAGTTAGAAGGAAAGGAATAAAACACAAACCTTCAGATAAAAAGAACAACATTTTTACCACCTGATGTTGCCTGTGGGGAAATCAAATCAGAGGTGCTTCATTTAAATCCTGTCATTGTCTCATGCTATATTGTACATCTCTTTTAAAAGGAAAAAGGCCTAACAAAAAGAAAAGGCAATGAAAAGGAAATACAAGATTCTTTGAGCGAGTGTATAGAGAATGTCTTAAATGTCGAGATGAACTGTACTGGAGAACCAAAGTGGAAAGTAATTGTCTAGCTATGCTGCCTTTACTGCTTTGCCTAGCATCTTCTTTTAAGTGGTGAACCCAATATGACTCCCATCTCCAAACTCACTCCAAAAAGTAGAATGTGATAGAGTACTAACGGCCCATCCACACACAGGCACGAAAAAAATCTTTCAAAATCTTGATGCTGGGCGTGTCTGAAGCTTGGCGATGTTTTGCGAGCAACGCGACCAACAACCAATCACATGAATCTCCCGCCCCCGACATACAAAGCAATAGCAATGTTAAAACGAAGTAAACTGGATATAAAATCCCCAAACAGGCGAAAACCTACCAGTTTCACCCACTGTCTCTGCCACCTCCCTCCATGCCTGGTTCCTCCGGTTTGTATCCCGGTAAATAGTTCTGGTCGTAAAGAACCGGGTGATTTGCTACCGTCATTTCTCGTTTGGAATATGAGGAAATGAACTGCTTGCACGCGGTTTGATTGGCTAGCGCTTGTACTGGCGGGATTTGCATAAACGAGATTGGATTGGCTGATGCCAGCTTCGAAAGCATCGGGAGCATCAAAAGTTGAACATTGCTCAACTTTTGATGCTCACGATGCTTGCAAAGCCATGCTCCGCTCCCCACAATGCAGTTCGGCGAAGATTCAAAATCTTCTACGTCACCCCATTCAAGTGAATGGGCGAAGCTTTGAAAGATTTTTTTCATGCCTGTGTGTGGACGGGCCGTAAGAGTAGCCCTCCTTAGTCTTACAAGAGCAGGAGTTTACACCACTTTATTAGAATGGAAAATCCCACCAAAGTGTTTCCAAGTACTAGTAGCTGTGAAATACATGGTGTCACTCAAAAGAAGAAAGCAACAAGCAGTTACCAACCATTTCAGTGAACAAGATGTGTCAATTTGAATTATATTAAGCGGTCCACGTCTTTCAGATAATAACTTGCATTTATGTTTTGTCTGATGCTGCGGGTCTAGATTTTATAACTTTGAAATGGGGATGTTAACACCAAAGCTTTAATGCACACAGTAAATGAGGGAACTGTAAAAAAAAAAAGGAATAATACAAACTATATCATTACCAAGTTTGACTCAAAGTTGCTCCTGTATTTCCAGCAAGGATCATTATCATGAATTGCATTGAAGTGAAAAGGAACAGAAAGCAGAGGAACTGCCACAAAATACAAGAATAGCACGGACCACTGGACTGCACACCAGCACTTGTTCTCAAGACGTGTTGAAAATAAAGGAAAGGCATTATGCTGAAGCATGCACTAGCCAGTTCACACATGTATTTATTCTATCTACAAATACTAGTATCTCAATGAGTAGATTAATCATGATAAATCACAGATTATTAGGTCCAATTATAGATATTTCCTGACAGTTTCATCAGTTGACAGCAGAGACAAACTCCTGAAGTGTCAACAGATCGAAAGTGTCTGAAAAAAAACAAAAATCTTACTGTAGTTGGAGTGAACGTCATCAATATCCTTCTCAGACTGATTCTTTGTGAAAACCATGACCTGCAAGAAATTAGAATTGAGAAAATAAGACAGGATGATTAGCATTGACTAACAGTCCTTAAAGAAATAAACATATGATAACATAATATTTAGAAAGACCTTTCCTGTAGTTTGGTTTAAATTATCAATGGTAGTCTGTATTGTTTTTTGCAAACCTGCATGCAATGCCATATGTAATGGCCCATTCTAATAAATCAAATAACATGTCATTCTAGTCCAGGGTTCATACACTTTTTCACCAATGATTTTCAATTACTTTTCCATGACTTCATGACATTTACCTAATTTTCCATGACCAAAAAAATTACTCTTTCTCAGCGGTACCACTGAAAATTGTTTATTTTAACATGGAACAGGAAAATAAGGTCTGAAACATGTTGTGCCTATCTAAAACAAATCAAATAGGCTTACTAGCTTCTACAGGCTAAAGCCACTAAAATCTCTCACCAGCAAAATACCTTGACAGTTAAATGCCATTTTACGTTTCATTACTATACGATACAGTATTTATTATCATTATAGTATTACTATTTAGGCGATTAGCTAAAATATAAATTATATTTGATGCAACTTTAGTAACATTTCCATGACTTTTCCAAAACCTTGGGAAATATATTGTTTTCCATAACTTTTCCGGGGCCTGGAATTTGCATTTAGAATTTCCATGACTTTTCCAGGTTTTTAATGACCGTAAGAACCCTGCTAATCACCAACTGTCGATTAAGTGACGATACCTCATTAAAATGTTCATGTTCTACAGTCGCATAAGTGGCATATAACATTATCTTGAGAAAAATAACATGTAATTCTAGCCCACACAAAACCCAGTAAACAGTTACTACACACAGGTTTGGTTTTAGCCTTCAGTTGATTCCTGATCTTCTCGTTGGACTCTAAATCTTTGGCAATATCTTCAGCTGTTGACAGAGGAAAGCACAAATATTGTCCTTTATATGAAATGTGCACTCAAACAAATAAAAAGCCTTTGACCAATTAGGTCGCAGTTCAAAAACACCAGTGAGATACATTTTGTGCACACATCTTAAAATGTTCTAGTTTTAATAAAAAGGTTTAAAACACAACAGTGATCTCAGACCTCCATAGGTTGAATCTTGTGGAGGTGGCATGCTTATTCATCATATATAAAGTGTCTAGCCAAGCATATTGCTGTGGGCTGTGAAGATTTCACTAAGTGGTGTGAAACTAAGATGCATGTATAATGAGAACTGTGAGGGAATGTTTAAGTGATTCAGTCAACACCATTTTCCTCACACTATATCATTGTGATTGAGTTTATATAATACAATTAGATGCATAGACAAGTCATGTAAGTCGACCTATACACGCATGAATGCAAATAAATACAGTATCACCCCTATGGAATAATGGACAAATGCCCTCACCTGGTTTTGGGTTTAGTGAATCACACTGGGCGTTGTATATCTGGACGAACTCCTGGTATCTTTTGATCAGCTGGTCTCGAGGACCCTGCATTGAGAGATGGCACTTCTTCAGCCTCCTCTTCAGCTCCTGCATGGACAGCAGGTTGTACACCACCTTCGTCATTGGACGTCTCGTATTGCATAAAGAGCTGCAACAGACATATGGATAGGATTTTTTTTATTAGATTCAATTATCACCAGATACAACTTGATAATGCCTGATGGTGGCTGATGGCTCAGAAAAGCATTTGATTGTACTACATGAAAGTATCATATTTTTCTAAAAATGATATGACTTCGGCAGAGGTCATAACAAAATGAAATGGGTGATAAAATGAATAAATGGAAGGGAGTTGCAATTCATCAGCCGAGTGGAGGAACAACCTCTGATACTCTAGAACCCTGTTAAATTCAGAAAGGTTGTCAAATGTGTTATTTTATATTATATACTTTGCAGGGGTAGACATTGGGTAAAATTAACCACAATTCCACCGGCCGGTGGAATTGTATTATCACTGGCCCCACCATTGTAACCACTGGCCCGGAGCATTCATCCAAAAAAAATCGTCTAATAATGAACTAACTACATTACATGTACTACAACATTTGAATCATCAGTTCTTCCTAATTTTCCTCAATTGTTCATATTTGGTTTATTAAAATAATGATATTGTGGTCATTGTTAAAAAATGTCTGCTATTATTACGAGTATTATTATTTGTATAATGCGCTTTCTGCCTTCCTGTCATTAGGAGTTAGAAATGTAATGGCTATGTAGTAGATTAGATTAGAACCTTCATTATCCTAAACTGCTGGGACATTTGCCTATAGCCAATACCTTTATCTTGTCTACTCTTCACTTACTTGTCAGCATAGGTCGGCATTGATGTACAGAGCCGACAGAAGACCTTGTTTATATTGGCATCATATTGAGAGGTGCAGCCAGTGACGCCTCCTAAAACCAGGAAGTAAGCTGCTGGTTTCCTCGAAAAAAAGCAATGGGATTTCTCCACAGGGTTTTGGAAAATAGCTGGAAATAAGGTCCTGTTTGATAAATGCACGTTTTGTTCAGCCGGATAATCTCCACATGCTACCATACTTTTATAATTTTTTAATCATAAATCTAATCGATAGATTATAAAAGGGTTTTAGGATGCGTCACTGCACCACTGGAAGCCAACTCCATCGATCAAGCTGGCTGAAACTTTCTTTCCCTCTTCTTCTCATGCTCCCTGTCACTCTCCTTTAACTCCTCCGGTGACTTTCTTTTATTTGAAGATTGTTTTTTGCCTGGCGTTGGCCGGTTACCGCTGGTATTAAAAACATTTTGGCGAATGGTTAGGTGGCGCGATACTCTGTAGTGAAGGAGCGCGCTCCCGCTCACGGGAGCCTGCTCGCGCTGCGCTCACGGGAGCCTGCTCGTGCTGCACTCCGCAGCAAACAGCTGTTTGCTTTTCACCCAAGAACGGCAACTGACTCACGAAACGCTATGTTGTAGCGTTAATAAACGAAACAATTTAACACAATTGCTAGTCACAATACCAATACCACAGGACCATTTTTTTTTTTTTAAACCAATATTTTTAGTGGCCGAGGGGGCAAGTGGAAAGTAGGTTATGCTGGCCCGGGGGGTCTAAATAGTCCCGGGGGGTCTAAATAGTCTAGCTTCCAGGCCAGCGGGCCATTTATAATGTCGAGCCCTGCTTTGTCTTGAATTTAAGACATTTAGTGCACGTTATTAAGGTTGGTATCAAGGGTAATCCCCCTCATGCAGGCTGGTTAGATATGACCAGAATATAAAAACTTCAGCAACTCATTGTGACCTGAAGGTTTGCTCCAGATCAAGTATTTTGCACTGCTTCAAAAATCACCTACAGTATGACAGAACCTCTTATATGATGCATGGACATCTTGGATAATGTTTAAAGGCCAGTGACAAGGATCAGTCTCTCAAATGATGTCACAGACACAGTCTAATAAATGATGTACATCAATTACTAATTTGTAACCTTGAAGTGACAGTCCAATACTTAGCAATATATAATTTTACACTGAGACACAAAATCAAGTGTCATCTCTTTATACCAAAAGGAATATACAAACTGTAGATCCAGGACATTTAAAGTACATCGTTTGGCATATACTGTATACTGGAAGTAAGGGAAAACTGCTGGTGTAGCCTCATCAACCCTGAAAAAGTAGTTTTCCTTTTTACACATTTTTGCGATGCAATCTAACGCCACTACATGTGCAAGTAGGTCCAGTCTAAACATTCATACAATACATAAATAGATCTTTATATGTTTTTTTAGTAATTGTGACATGGCATCTTTATAAGATCAGTGCAAACCTTTACACCTCTCTCATCATTCTAATTTTCCAAAAATCTTAAAAATGTCTTTTGTTTGACAAATAGAGACGATAGAGCATTACAGCGGAAGATAGCTTTTGCTTAAGTGTTCAGTTAGGTATGTTACCTCCTCATGCTTTCCTTCCTGTCTCCACTGGTCAGACACGTGTCCAGATGCTTGTTGATAAACTGTTGCAGCACACTTACAGAGCACACAGGGCACTCCACTGAAAAACAAAATGGTAAAGATATTACAAGCAGCTTAGTTAGAAAAAAAGAAAACATTTTAAATCCATATCAGATACATTCCGATTCCAATGATTTTTAAGGATTGCACCAAACGGACCCTTTCTAAGTTCTGTATGCAAACACACGAAAATGACTTACACAAAAGTAAAGATGGTTATTCTTCAGTGTAATGGCTTTAAGCAGGAATGTATTAAAAGGAGTTTTCTTTTTAAATAGAAGCAAGAGTAGTGGGCAAGTAATGGATTCAGTGAATGCTCACAAAACTGCATATCGATAACACCCACTACTCTGGAAATCCTAACCAGGTATAGAACGCAGAGGTCAAACAACATTAAAACTAAAGGTAACATTTACTCAGTTTTTTGTATGAAGAATGTAAATATTGTATAATGATTGGATAATTAGCTTTAAATAAGTTAGTGTTGACCATCAAGTTAAGACATAGGCCTTGTTTCGCCTGCTTTGTACACACGAGACACATTTTTGAATTGAAAAGTGAATGTAATCCATAAATAGGGTCACAGTAAATGACATCAGCTTTTACATTATTCCCATGTAGTATGTGGCATCATCAAATTGTTCTGTAGTCTCTTCTGCTCATGTTACGGTATACAACTGATCTAATGCAATAATTACCAAACAGCTCTTCCATCGTTGTGGTCATATTGAGTAAGACTGTGAATTTGGGAGTGAGTTAAGAAGCTAACTAGATAGGGTGAGTCACACTGGATGATGCAGCGCTCTTCATCTACAGGTAGAAAGGCTTCACCTTTGATTACGGGCTTTATGTCATTCGATAGTGACGAGGAATGTGCCATTGCATGCCCGGTGCTGATACTGTGCGGGACTACTGCAGCCTCCTGTTTGACTGACATCAATTTCTGGATAGATGACTCCTCCTCATAATCATTCGGCTCTTCCTTCACAACCACTGGAAGTCGTGCATTTGCTGAATGTAGGTCAGCGTCATTTGCATTGTCGGTGCGTACAGTCTGTATTTTCCCCCGCCGAGTTAAATGAGAATCAGAAGCATCGTGCCGGTTTTTTTTGGCGGGAGATGTTTTAGGCATCTTTTGGAAAAAGTTACTCAAAACAGCACGGTTACACTTCTGGCCCCTCCGTTTGGGAGTTCTGCATTCGACAGCTGAAGCTGGGGCACTTGGGGATATTGGAGAAGTGTCAAAATGTGCTTTTGACAACTGCTGCCTGGAAAGAAGAAGAAAAGGCAAAGTAAAGTAAAACGAATGCACATTCATCACAGACACAAGTGTATCATTACATTGAGTATAAGGTACAGCAGTTATGGCTCTCTTAAAAAACATATTGAGCTCATTAAAATGAGAAGAGCCAATGAACACTGGAGACAGTAAAATAAGCTCTTTGACGTTAGACTGCACCTGCTCAATTATCTCGCTGCTTTTCTACAGAGTGAGAAAAAGTGGGCAGTTTGGCTACACTCCTGGAAATGAGGAAAGCAAACAAATTGTAGCTAGGCCATTACTCTGCACTAAAATGGAACCAACTGTTTACTTTAAATGAGAACTGCACTCTTACTCAAACAACCTGAGTATTTCAAATCATTCTACATTACAGCATTCTGAAGCATTGCATTGTAGTTATGTGTGACAGTTGTTTATTACAATACCATGACGCATGATCATTTTGTAACATCTTCGTCTGAATTCAATTTTCCGACTTGTCTCTAAAAACTTGTCTTTACATTAATGCACACAATGTACAACATTACTTTGTATTACAGCTGATTTTTATTCCATATTTTATTCCTCTATTTCATTCCATTGCAATGTAAATACCGTTATATTTTGCTATATATTTTTAATTATTTTTAATATTTTCTAGTTCTCTACCTGTGTTTTTAATTCTTGTTTTTATGCACCATGACACCAAGTCAAATTCCTCGTACGTGTAAACCTACCTGGTAGGGTTGGCAGGGCTCGACATTATAAATGGCCCGCTGGCCCGGAAGCACTATTTAGACACCCCGGGCCAGCATAACGTACTTTCCACTTGCCCGCTCGGCCACTAAAAATATTGTTTAAAAAAATGTTTCTTGTGGTATTGGTATTTTTACTAGCAATTTTGTTAAATTGTTTCGTTTATTAACGCTACAACATAGCGTTCCGTGAGTCGGTTGTCGTTGTTGGGGGAAAAGCAAACAGCTGTTTGCTGCGAAGCGCAGCAAAAGCAGGCTCCCGTGAGCGGGAGCGCGCTCCTTCACTACAGACTATTTGCCAAAATGTTTTTAATACCAGCGGTAAAAAATAATCTTCAAGTAAAAGAAAGTCACCGGAGGAGTTAAAGGAGAGTGACAGGGAGCATGAGAAGAAGAGGGAGAGAAAGTTTCAGCCAGCTTGATCGATGGAGTTGGCTTCTAGTGGTGCAGTGACGCATCCTAAAACCCTTTTATAATCTATCGATTAGATTTATGATTCGAAAATTATAAAAGTAAGGTAGCATGTGGAGATTATCCGGCTGAACAAAACGTGCATTTATCAAACAGGTTTGTTTTCCACAGACCTTATTTCCAGCTATTTTCCAAAACCCTGTGGAGAAATCCCATTGCTTTTTGTCGAGGGAACCAGCAGCTTACTTCCTGGTTTCAGGACGCGTCACTGCACCTCTCAATATGATGGCAATATAAACAAGGTCTTCTGTCGGCTCTGTACATCAATGCCGACCTATGCTGACAGTAAGTGAAGAGTAGAACATATAAAGGTATTGGCGAAATGTCCCAGCAGTTTAGGATAATGAAGGTTCTAATCTAATCTATAGCCATTACATTTCTAACTCCTAATGACAGGAAGGCAGAAAGTGCATTATACAAATAATAATACTCATAATAATAGCAGACATTTTTTAACAATGACCACAATATCATTATTTTAATAAACCAAATATGAACAATTGAGGAAGAATTGATTGTTCAAATGTTGTAGTACAAGTAGTAATGTAGTTAGTGCATAAATTACTATTGTGTTAATTTTCTTCATTATTAGTCGATTTTTTTTGGACGAATGCTCCGGGCCGATTCTACTTTTCGATTCCGGTTCTTAACGGTTCTCAATTCCGATTCTTTGAGGGGCAGGGTAAAAAAATGATACATGCTTCTTCCACCAAAAAAATTACATTTATTCGAGAAACTTTTACACAGGTTAGTTTACAGTAATATTCACATTAATCAGTCTGTTTATAATCACTGCTATGTAACTGTAACCTGAGAACCACTGAAGCTACAACAGTGCAACAGCCACTCAGTCTGACTGGAGAGGAATCTCCCTCCACATCATTGTAGAAACATCTTCTTCTTCCGTTAGAGCAGCTAGCACCAGATGTTAATAACAACAGCGCGTACCGGTGCACCCTCCCTTTCTCCCTCGCTCACTCGCACATTGGCTGTGAGCTGCGGGTGCCAGATAAGCCAACATCCCCCATTTTCATCGCCCATCGTACAGGGCAAATGAAAAGTGTAACCGGGATGAAAAGGGTGTTACATTTACTTAATTATGAATGTTGTTACATCAAGGCCGAACATTAGGGTGAGCACCAACGGTCAAAACATTTTGTTTCCTCCCAGAGCTGTCAGCGCAGCACCTCCACAGATCTGGCGCCCTAGGCGAACATCTATAACGCCAGTGTGATGGGCCGGCCCTGGTCTCAGGTTACGCTGTAGGAAGTGTAGGTACAACCAGAGCCATATAATAGCATAATATAATATGGCGCTGGGTACAACCATAGATATATATAAACACGTGTTTATATCAAGCGGCAAACTCTGGGGAACAGCCGGGAAGCCAATACGGAAGTGCCTCGCTTTTGGAAGTGCAAGCATTCATGCATTATTAACTGCAAACCCGACGCGAAAGTACTTACCCCCGTTAGGCAAACTAGACCGAAGAAGTATGATCGTCTTGGTCTTATTGTTAGCGGGAGACATCCATCTGAATCCGGGCCCGGTACAGACAAGAAGCCAGTCCTGCAGGCTCGAGGAGCTAGCATCACAACTAGCATCTCTTCCGCTGCAGCGACAACTATGCGACGACAACAGAGACCGTGGAGACAGCGGAGACCGAGGAATAAACGGAGACTTCGACATTCCCCCGGGGACGCCTCGGCAGACAGACACGCATGAGGCAGTGACGAGAGGAAGATAACCGATATCCGAGGGAACAAATATCCGCCATGTTGTTAGCCACCCTGCTAGCATATCAACGGCTAAAGCTACAACGGAGCCTCCCTCCCCCCACCACCCCACCGCTCCAAACACCACGGCAGGCCGCAAGCCGGTTGCTGTAACGGACAAAGACAAATATCTGCAAGCTGACAACATTGTACATTTAAGCAACAAAAATGGACTACATATTTTTCATCTGAACACTAACAGCCTGAGACACAAACTGGCTGAACTCAGGCAGCTATTCATGAACGGTAAGGCAAGCATATTATGCTTTTCTGAGACCAAATTGGACAATTCCATTACAGATTCAGAGATTGAAATTGAAGATTATCTTGTAGTGAGAAGGGACAGGAACGTGAATGGAGGTGGTGTCTGCATGTATATACATAAAGACACCAATTTCAAAAACCGTACTGACCTGCATCATGAAAATATTGAATCTGTGTCGGTTGAAATTCTTTTTGACAATGCTAAATCTGTAATAGTCGGGACAATCTATAGACCACCGGAACAGAGTGACTTTTATGATACATTAGATGGATATTTGGCTGATGTGGGGGATGTAGAGACAATTATTATTGGAGACTGGAACACGGATATGCAACGTAAAGACACGTCCGTCTTCAAGTCCTTCAGTAGGATTTGTGATCTGCACGGCTTCAGCCAGCTAATCACCCAACCCACCCGGGTATGTGAAACAACACAAACTACCATTGATCTCATTCTGACCTCTGACAAGTCCAGGATCTCCAGTAAAGGGGTTATAGCATGCGGTTTAAGTGATCATTATATGATATTCTGTACCCGCAAAAAGCTAAAACAAAGGGCCGGCTGTCACAAAACAGTCATATCTAGAGACCTCAAAAACTACTCTAGCGAGGCCTTTAACCTAGAACTGGAGAGCCTGGACTGGTCAGATGAGCTCAGTGGTACACAAGTTGAAGAAACATGGCTTGGTTTCAAAAACAAATTCTCTGCAATACTCAATGATTTGGCCCCCCTAAGAACAACCAGGATAAAAAAATCGCGCTGAGCCGTGGATGCACTCCGGCATACTGACCGCCATGAAAACCAGAGACAAAAAATGCTCTGAGTTTCATAAAAGTCAGTCAATGCTTTCCAAAAGCACGAGCAGTAGGGGTGTAACGGTACACGTACCCGTACCGAAATTATTCAGAGTAATTTGGTCACATTGGGTTCAACGCGTCATAGAGCGAGCAAGTCATTTCATTGGATAAGAGGCATACTATGAGAGCTGGTCAGAGGGATGCGTTCAAATGTAGTCAGTAATTTGAGGAACTGTCGAAAATTAATGGCGAACGCAGATAAAGTTGAGCTCGAAAATCCTCCAGCATCATTGAAGTCTCCGGTTTGGGAACATTTTGGTTTCGCAGTTACGTACAAGGATGAAGGACAAAGACAGGTGGACCGAACCAAAGCTGTTTGTCGGCATTGTTCAACTAAAATTGGTTACGCGGCTGGCAATACATCAAACTTGCACACTCTTGAAAAGGCATCACCCGAACGTGAATATCACCGGTACCAAAAGAAAAAAGACTGAAGTGCAAACCCAACTCCCACTAGCATGTAAGCCTCCACCACTCGCAGAGAGTTCAGACCGAGACAAAGCTATTACAAACGCCAAATATCCTTATGTTGCCATGTTAGCAAAGCGCTACCTGGCTGTATCTGCTACCTCTGTCCCTAGCGAGAGGGTGTTCTCCACAGCAGGAGACATTGTTAGTGCCAGCAGATCTGCCCTTTCGGCAAGCAATGTGGACAAGTTAATTTTTCTTTAAAAAAACATGAAAATACAATGACAAGCAAGTCATAATGTCAAGCTGGCTGCTTAGGAACTAGTACAGTACAGTTCAAATACAGATTATTTCAGTTCATCGAAAAGCTGCACCTTAATGTTTATTTTATTATATTTTGTATTTATTTGAGTGAATATTCACAGTTTAATAATAATTAAAAACCCAAAACTAATAGTTTATGTTTTGTGAGTACT